CCCCCCCCCCCCCATTTTTTACCTTGGAGTCCACTTACAGTGGTAACTACTTGAGTCTGGATATTCAAGCAAATACTAACAGTAATAGGAATGCGATCCAATTTTTCATCGGTGATTTCTTATTTTTCTTTCTTCTATGTGAATGTACAATATAATTATGATACAAAAGCCAATCCCGTCAACTATACCAATCAAGAAAGAGAATTGAAAATGTTAGCACAAATAGAAAGAGCAGAAGGAAGGTTCTACTGCTGCTATTCCGCTGAATTGCTTGGGCAAGTTCTTTATTACCAAGCTCGACGTTCTTTGTAGCTTCAACAGCCTAATTTGTAGTTCATTAAAAAGAAAGAAAATATGAAGTTCAGTACCTAACAGTACCGAGAATAGTGCTCAACTGAATTTCATTCTGGAAATGTTCAAAAGGAAGGTGCAAGTGCAATTAGCCGTTGAGATTTGAGGGATAATGTGAAAGACAATAAACCGAGGTAGAAATGCTGACCTGTTCATAAAGAAATTCGATTTGTTGTGCTTGCTGCAAAACATGTGTAGACATTAGGTGATTTAAAGCAGACATCTCTACCATCTTAGTTTCTGTTTCCTGGACTGCATCAAGAAGACTGGTCAACTCAACCTACAAATTTGGCAGAAAACAACTGATCAGTTCTCAAATTTTACCCATCAAGAATCAAGCTTGGTTCAATTAACAGATGATAGAACTCTCATCAAATTTTGTTTCCCCCTCCATATTTTGATTACCTGAAGTGCACGAGTTTCATCGTCCAACAGTTGCTGTTGGGCTCGGACAGGTTGATGCTCAAAATTATCAGGTTCCCTCAGCTCCATATTATTATAGTTGGGGGCATTTGCAGAACGTGGTTTATTTACTTGGTTGGGTTTTCTTCTTGGTACTGCTTTGTTTATTATATCTTGAAACCGAATGGCTCTTAACTTATCAAATTGTGATGTTACTGAATGAAGTTTCTCACTCAAAATTAGAACCTGCACTTAGAAGAAAACTTCAAATTCAAGAATGGAACAACTACTTTTGGTAGGACTGTGGGAAGGAGATTCTCAAAAAAAAGTACAGAACGTATTACCTTTTAAAAAACAAAAGTATGGAAAATATTTCACTAAAAGATTGTCTCTGTCCGGGAAAGATGAAAACTGACAATGTTTAAAAAGAGATGACAATACGACCAACAATCAAGCAGAAGAATGGGAGCAGTCGAGATGTAATGGGGTAAACAGTTTTGAATTGTTTTGAACTGCGGACAGGGCAACAACATTCGACTACTCACTTTTTCTTCCTCGGGGAAGGGAAAACAGTTTGGAGAAGTGTGCACGCTAGCACATGTAAAATAACCAAGTGATAAATATGAACAGAAAGAAAAAAAACAACACTCACCACCCCATGTTTGTGTGCAATAGTATCGGCATTAGCATCATCAATCCTAGCACCAAGCCAGCTCTTTGAGTGTGCGTCATCCTCATTAATGTTGTTTTTTAGGATATCGATTTGTTCTTGGCATGCTTTGATGAATGCAGTTACCTGCATATAGTTATAAGATACATATTTGGCATTACATTATGAAAATACAAATATGCAATAGTAGATCCCAAAAAACCTCAATAAAGTTCATACTAAGCTTTGAGATCACAATGTGCCACGTAAAAAAATCTTTTATAAAAAAAAAAATGCTAACCAATAATAGCAGAAGTGTCTGTGTGAAGAAAAACCGGGAAGAAAAAATAGTTAAGCATTCAACTTCATGAATATCAGACCAAATAAATTATGGCTTAGCATATCAACCAAATAACGTATGGCCATGATTAAAATAAACTATCACTCTCACTTCGAGAAGTTCTTTGAGCCCAAAGTTTTATCAAGCAATCTTATTATTCAGTTATTGTTCTTAGTGATCTCCCAAGTAGTTGTATGGCTCACCTCATGTTCAATATTGTCTCTCTCTTGATCTGTTGTGCGATACATATCTACATAGTCCTTTTGATGCTTCAACATAAACTCTTCAAGAGCGCCAATGCTCTCAAGCTGATTCAAGACAAGCAAAGGAGTCAAACATGATAGTTGCTCTTTTCACACATTTGGAAGTTGTAATTCATGAAACATGTCCTTGAAAGAAGACCAGTTAAGCTGTGACTAAGTTCTCAAGAAAAGGGAAAAAAAAAAAAGAAGAAAAAAGAATACCAAAACACTTCAATATTGATAATTCTACCGTTTTTAGGGCAGCTTTGATGAAAGGTGACCTTTGCCGAGGTTTCTGAATGATGAATGACGCCATAATAGCCGCCAACTTGGACTGCAAAGACATGGTACTTAACATAAGGATGTTTCGGGAGAAACACTAAAACATTCGTAATTGGTGTAGTCTGATCACTTGCTAGAAAGAAAACGAGCACATCTTTCACGAGAAATATAGTCCAAATTTCCCATCAACAAGCAACTATATACTGCAAGAAAAGCATACAAACCTCGTTATGCCCTGAAGAAGTAGCACAATGCCGGACAGCATCTTTAAAATCTTCAGTCCTATCCCTGAACTTCGCCATTCCCTTCTCAACGAGGCTGAAAACATATTAACAAGTTAAACGACCATAAATGACTGAATGAACTACGGAATATAAAAGACATTTGTGAGAACAGCCAAATGAAAGAACAAACTAAACACCTTACTCTGCGCCCACCTCAATTATGCACGAAGTCGTAATGGAAATAGGTTATTTATCCCCAATCCTCCCACACAGAAGATCGCTCTAGAATCAATCTTAGAAGTCAAAATTTTAGAAAAAGCAGAAGAAGGAAGATCATCAGACAAAATTCAAAATAGAAGTAGAAAAAACACTAAATCAATTCCCTTTCAACCCTAAGGCGTCAAAATTTTACTCAGAGAAAAGCGATAACGTAAAGAATGTAGAAACATAATGATATACTAGAGCATTGAATAGATTCCAACATCGAATTCTGCCACATTGATACACTGAACTGAAACGCAGAATCAATAACATGTATTAGCCAAAGGATCACTGGAACTTACATTGTTGGTATCGACGGAGGCAAAATGGTAGAAAAAGAAATGCGAATTTCAAGTCCAATAGGAGACTGAAAAATGAAATTGCTTATTCACGATCCGAGAGTTTATTCTTGGGGCGAAGTGAGGAAGGAAATCCAGCTGCTCTCGGATCGTGGAATAGAAAGGAGGAAGAAGTCGAGTGATTCTTCTCAAGAACTCTGAAACGGAGCTGCTCGAGTTTATTAGAAAAATGGATAACGGTTCGGTTGTCGTGGTTTAAATATTGTACGGAGAAACCGAACCATTATGTGTAACTAACATTGAGCAAAACCGATTTGGTTCGGTTCGGTTCGCTTGGAATACTCGAGTCGACTTTCGTGTGTTATTTGTAAAATAATTTATTACTATATTTTAAATTAAAACCAATGAGTGTATGGTGTGAATCATCTGATTTTTAAGATTTGAATAAAGAAAAAGAAAGCATTTTGTGATGCAATTGTAACAGGTTGTGCGGGTCATTCTCGGGTTCACTCTGCGATCTGTAGCGGCTTCACAACCGGCCATTTCCAACTCCTCCGCTCTCTCCGATCAGGTACCGGCAGCCTTATAAATCTTAGTCACGTTTCTCCTTCACGCATCTTAGATTTTGATTCTTTCGCCTCCTTGGGATTTAGGTTTCAGATCTATGCTTCTTCATCGCTTCATCGATTATTGGGCGCACGATTGCTTGTTTGAATTTCATTTTCTTTAATCGATTGCAGCAACATGTAATTGTTATAATGTCGAATTACATGGTTGTATGGTTACAATTTGTGGAGATTAATTTCAGAGTATGGAATTCTGTATCTTTTGGAGGACTGTTCCCCGAGTTTTTGAAAGAAAATTAGGCGAAATTATTGAAAATCTCAAGTTTTGGGGTGGGAGAATAGCTACTGTTTACTCCCTCTTTGTTTCTTTTTTTTGAAAATTTGGTGATCAGATGGTTACATAGCCACTGCATTTTGGCTATAATCATCAAACTTTAGTTCATCCCCCATTTTAAGATCATTAGATATTATCATCATCTTTGGAAATGAGTGAATCCAATTCCTGTGCTGCCCAGGCTTCTTAATCCATCATTCTGTTGTTTGCATCATCTGCTATCTTGTAAGATTATTTGGCGTGTTATGTTTTTGTTGAGCAGGTTCTTTGCAACACAGATAATAAATGGGATTGTGGACACTTCTAGAAGGCTGCCTGCTACTCGCCAATGCTCTAGCGATTCTAAACGAAGATCGGTTTCTTGCTCCTAGAGGATGGAGCTTCTCAGACTTCTCAGGCGGCAGAACCAAGTCATTCAGGGGGCAGCTTATAGGGCTTATCTATGCAACACAATATCTAAGAGTTCCTCTCATGATGCTCAATGTCATCTGCATCTTTGTCAAATTGGTATCAGGATGATAACTACCGTTGAGGCAGGTTTGCACTTCCTTCCATTTTGAGAAAGTATTTCCGGTGTATTGTTCTTGATTTAGTATGGCCTTTGTTGGTTTGAATGTAACGAACAATAGGCTGCTATGAGATAACTATAACATCTGAGAGTTAGAAACATGCATTTTCATAGCTGTGCCTTCTTTCCATTGTCTATTCTTTGTTGATATGCTATTGTCTTTTCCCCGTTTGTGTGATTGTTTTTCTTCCCTCCTTTTTAAACATCATTTCTCGGTTTCTAAACCAAGGAGAATCAAATTATTTTTGTAAAACGGGAAAAGACTTTTCGAAAATCGCCGGTCCGGACATGGGACTTTTTGGGTGTCAAAATGCTCCTCCTCTTAGTAAATTTGAAGAAAGACATTGACTTCACTAGCAACATTATTAACAACATTATTAACAACATTATGAACAATCAAGTAAATAGCTCAACCGATAGGGAGAGAGGCGCTGAAATCGTTCCTATTGGGTCGTGTGTGGCAGCTAGTAGAGATGAATGAAGGCAGACCTATTCTCTTAATAGGCAACAAAGCATAATAGTAAAGTGGCCGAGTGAAGAATGCCTTTTTAGCCTTTTTCTAAAAACTCTAATGTGAAGCTATCATGGCTCGCTACATACAAGTATAGCCATGAATCCCTTCTTACTTCGTGTTGGCACTATCTTCTCTTACGAAATATTGCAAATGCATTAGATAAAATGTAGACATTTAGAAGTATTAACAAACCATTAGACTAAACAACCTTTCAATGTGTAATGGTCTAAGCCTATCGCATGAAGATATTGTTCGTTTTGGCCTATTGTCATCAACCTCACGGTTTTTAAAACACGAAGAGGTATTCACACCTTATAAGGAATGTTTCGTTCCCATCTCCAACCGATGTGGAATCTCACACAACATGTTGATATTTGAATGTCTTCACATTTTCAACAATCATAGTTGAGTCTAGTAGTCAAGAAGGATCAGGTAAACCGACTAAAGAATGGATACTCATAGTAACTATGTATCAACATTTATATAAATGGAAGAACACATCTCAATTATGAAATGGTATTCAATAAGAATACACAGATCATTTAGTTAAGCAGAAAAATGCCCACAAGGCTTCAATCAATTTCATAAAAATACACCATAAAAGTACAGATCAAGCTTTGAAAGTATGTTGGACCATCTTCATCACAAGAAGAAAGGAAACCAAAAGGAAAAACCCAAGAACAGGCAGAGAAGAACTATCCAAATGACAAACATGATATGCATTACAACAACTGCAGGCACTTCCTATGAACTGAAGAACAATCTCCAAAACCTTCATCCTCTTACGCCATCATCTTTCGATCCCTCCTCTGCGACTAAACTAACCTTTTCGTACTGAAAATCCACCGATTGAGGTTCGGCAACAGAAATGGCATTTCTATTGCCCGCAATTGCCCACACGAACAGCACCAAAAACGCCATTAACGCACCGCAACCAGTTGCAAAGATCAGCCCCGCAACGATTGTAAGCGGCCGAAGATGATTCTTCTGGGAACCCTCCTCGTCTTGTTTTAAGGAAGGCCGGCGTGGATCAACCGGCATCGAATGCATCCATTTGGGGACATTTCTAAGACCAAACCGCCATGAAAATACTCTGCTCCACTCAGATGACTTGCTATTCCCCGAGCTTAATCCCACAAAAACTTCCCTCCCTTCGCATTTGCTCGACAGATCAATTGGGTATGCTAATAAGGGATCGTACGGCCTCGATTCCCCAAATTTACTCAATCTAATTTCCACCGTTTTCGAGCTCGAATCGTAATCGACCCACGATGTCAATTTCCCCCCATTGTTGGGAACAACAATCCCCTTCTCCATCTTCAAAATCCCACCACTCAAATTACTCCCATTCCCAGAAACGAATCCGATTCTATGAAGCCATTTTTCCGGGGAGATTTCGTCGGGAAAACCCCCACCGGGAAAAAGCGAAAGAACGATGCCATCCCCGTTGTCCGGCGAGACAGCGAAGGTGAACTGGGTATAAAACGACGTGGAACCGTGAAGCTTCAAGGGTTTGTTGTGCAAGAGAAGGCCAAAGCTGGAAGCGACAGGGCGGGTGAGTTTGACGAAAGAATCGCCGAAGTCTCCGTGACCGTCGCCGTCGACAAGAACGGCGTCTCCGATGAGGGCAATGTGGGGATCGAAATTGGGTTGTTTGGGGAGGGATCGAAGGTTGAATGAAGAAATGGGGTGAAGAAATGAGAAGAGGAAAACAGAGAAAAGCAATGGAGAAGAGAAATCAACCATTATCGAAGAAGCCGAGCGGCGGAACAGATCTGTGCTTTCTTCTTCCTTCTTTTTCTTTTATTTGTCTCGTTTTTCCCGGACGGGTCTGCTAATTTGTGAGATTTTACCACGTGCTCCAAAATTCGATCCTACAAAAAACTCACATCAAAATTTCGTATATATATCCAACTTAATCTTATAATTTCAAGAGATTAAAGTAGCATTAACCCTCCAAATCCCTTTAATGATCTGTTCATAATTAACCTAAAACCTCATTATTTTCCCCATCAACAATTACATCTCTGTAATGAAGCAAAAGAAAGCTGTTTAGTTCGGATTCTCCACCGAAACCATAACTCACCAAGAAACTTACTGATATAAACACAACGATTCGTGGCAGGCGGCGGCGGCGGCGGCGACTACACTGCAGGAGAAATCCAAAGAGATGGCATGATCCAAATTCCATGGGAAGTAAAAAAGTGAAAACGCCACGAACTGGGATCAATGCGATCCCTTTGGATGCTTCCTGAAGTTGCAGTTAAATCGGCCATAGATGAACAACTCGAAGAACAACAAGAACTTCAAGAACCCCTTTCTCTCTCTAACTCTGTGAGATGAATATGGTTTTATGAGGGAAACGCAGCAATGGTGATATGTATAAAAGATGCTGCAACTTTGACCAAATTTCTTCGGGTCAAATTTAATTCAAAATTCTAGAAATATTATAATATTTGGTTATTTAAATTTTTGAAAATAATGGAATATATATATATATTTTAAAAGAATGGGAAGTTAATAGCAATTATAACACACCACATTCTACACATGAAAGGTAGCATTTAATATCACTAGTGGGACATATAAATATTGCATCTTCCCCTTTACACTTAACTGTCTTAGTTGGCTCAAGATTCGGATCAGGGTTTGACTCTCGTGTATCCCGACATTTTTCTGCATCTCCTGCGACATAGTCATGTTGCTTATAAGAGTGAAAACTATCCTCACAGACTAACACTAGTCATTCTAGCATATTTTGTCTTCACTCATATATATCATAGGAAGATTTTTAAGAGGTCACTCAACATAAAATTGCTCAAAGTAAAGCACGTTCAACTATAAAGTTTGTACGATTGAGTTATATAGAAGAAAAGTTTGTTAATAAAACACTAAAAAGAAACAGAATCAATTAGAATCATTCTCGGGATTAAAACATTTATTAAGGGGATTTGTTATTAAAGTTACTTAAAGCATAAGGAGTCTACTCTCACTAATATAACTAATTGATAATTAGGGAAGTTATTAGTGAGAAATTATGAATTAAAATAAGGAAAAAAAAATCGTCAACAACCAGCACCACGATAGTGTTGAGTAGTGGGAGGGTTGGATGATGATGTGGTGCAAATATTGTCGCAAACATGGGCCATCACGCGCCCACATTGCAGCCTTTTTCTGGGTGCTCTCTAGACCCCACCACACTTGATTTTTGCCCTCTCCTTCCTTCTCCATCATGCTCATGCATGCTATTATACTCCATAGTGGGTATCATTAAAAATATATATATATATATATACCAACAAAATTCGTATATATTACATCATATAATTAAAATCTATATATATTAAAATTATAATATCATATTCTCATGAGATTTTATATGAAAGTCAAGTTGAATGCATAAAATGTCCCTCACATTGGAACCAAATGGAAGCTCTTCTCGGTCTTTGTAGCCCATCAAGTGTAGCAAAAGAATCTTCTAAATGCTTTCCTATGTTCTCCAATACGTTCAAAGTGGCTATTTTTCCCCCACGACATCCAACATATTTGACTTTAAAATCTTCGAGATTGAATTAGACGTCATCACCACTAGTAGATATTGTCTTCTTTGGGCTTTCTGTTTCGAGTCTATTAGGGAGAGGCTTCTACACTCTTATAAAGAACGTTAAGATGTAGGGTCTCACAATTCACCTCATTTGGGGCTCAGTGTCCTTGCTAGCACTCGTTCTCCTCTCTAATCAACGTGGGAGGAGAACGAGCTATAAGAATTGGAACAAATATTGTCGTAAAAGTTTAAATGTTGTGGCTTAGAAAGGAAACCAACTACTTTAGTGTTGAAGAATTAATTGTGGGTATTTGTGATGCTATGGCTTTTATGGAGTGAGTAATGGGTTTGGACCACGGCTACCGACACAAGATTCAAATATGAGATGGACAAAAATTAACATCTTTTCTTCTTTCTTACCATAATAAGTTGAACCCTAATTTTTGGGTCATCAAACAATACAAGTAAATTTATATTGCTTTTTCGTTTCGTTTCTCGCTTTCGGTTTCCTTTCCGTTATTGTTGAAATATCTTTCTCATGATCGTTTATATATGGTAACGTCTAATTCAAATTTCTTTTATCATTTATATACGATCGTTCAAAAATACTTAGACAAGTTTTAGCTTTTTTCCCGAATTAAGGAGAGAGCTATTGAGGGTGTAAATGACTAAAAAAAGATTATTGGTACCGTTTGTGAGTGATAAATGACAAGGTTTTTCACGGGTGTGTGACTTTTCGAGTATAATTTGAGAAGTAAATCCATAGAACATGGTTAGTTAACGTTCTGAAAAACGGGTAGGAGAGACGAGAGACATTTAAGTCTGATGTTTATAGTGAGATCCCACATCGGTTGGAGAGGAGAACGAAACATTCCTTATAAGGGTGTAGAAATTTCTCCTTAAAAGACGTGTTTTTAAAACCGTAAGATTGACGACAATACGTAACAGGCCAAAGTGGATAATATCTACTAGTGGTGCGCTTGAGCTATTTGAGAAAATCATAAGGCTAACAACAACCCGTAACGGGCTAAAGCGAACAATATTTACTAACAATAAATTTAGGCGATTATTAATGATATCAAAATCAAACATAGAGCAGTGTGGCAATGAGAACACTGGGCCAGACATGATAATGGGGACGAGATAGATGGTGATAAATAGCTTAGGCTTAGGCGGAAAGAGCAAGGGCACATTCGGTAATTTTCTCAACTTAGGCACATGGCCTCAATTACCTCGTCTACACTCCCTCTACCCCACATCTTAACTACCGTTATTTTTATTTTTAATATTCGGAATATTCTCCCAACCTAATTTGCTACTATCGATAGCATAACTGACTAAAAAACAACGTTTATTCGATTGAGTCTATGTTTGATAGGGCATCTCGACCTTATCGATGAACCTTTCCGCTATCATATTAGGGCATCTCAACCCTACGCGAATCAACTACGCATACCTATTCCATCATAAAACATGCACGTGGAGGGGCTCCATCTACCCGTGTTCGAAATGTGAAGAGAGGAGCATGAAAGCATATGAAATAATTGTGGTTTCTTTCTATGTTTTTCAATACCTAATTTTGTACCTTTTCCATAAATCCACAATACCATCTTCTCCTTTTCTTGTCTTTCCAATAATTTATAATTTAATATCATTATTTTATGCGAAATAAAATGAAATTTTTTAAAAAGAAAAAAAGAAATTTATAAAATGGGTTATATAGATGGATCTCCTATTTGAAGCCCAATTCGAGTGGTGGGCTACGGAGCTTTTGAGGCCCAAAAGAATAAAGTGGGCCTCACACTCACTCCAAGCCCATTTCAGGCCCAATAATTTTTAATTTTTAATTTCTCTCTTATATCTATATTTATGCATCATTAAACACAAAATTAAAGACATAAAAATATATTAAATAGCTTTTGGAGTGGGAAGGAGGGGAAAGAAGGGAAGGGCCCCAAAAGAAAGGAATATGGAGAAAAGCAAAGTAAAAAGAGTGTAAATGTGGGACAAGAATGGGGTATGATGGCGCCTCAGCCTCAGCCACAGCCTCTGCCTCTCTCGGTCACAGTACTTGGCTTTCTGCACTCAACCTCTCAAAAACTTAATTAAATTGGTACTCCTTCCTTCTTCTTGTTCCTGTGAAATAACACATCGGTTGGAGAATGTAACGAAACATTTTCGGTGGGGAGGCGTTTCCCATTGAAGTTGAGGTGTAGTTGGGAAAAGGGTTGATGAAATTTTGTTGCTTTTGTACACAATTTGTGATGTAATTTTTGTGTTGAAGAACGGTGTTTTCGGTGGAACAATGATTTGGGTGATCACGTTTCTACTTTTTTTGCTTTGGAGTGATGTTTTTTGTTATTAAACAAAGGGGGAAAAAGAGAGAAGATGAATGATACTCTGCATAATGCAGTGCAAAAATTGTGTCCTAAATCTTTCCCCGTCTTTTTCCTCTCTGCAACTCTGTTTTAGGCTGCATATCGACACTGACACCCAACAAACCCGCTGAAACAGGGGACACCCACCACACTTACTTCTACTCCTCATTCCATTACTGATTATCATATCAAAATCACACCCTAAATCTAATCATTTTTGTTTATGGGACCTCTTTCTCTCTCTGGGTTTTCATGGTTTTCGCCTCACACACCCATTTCATGAGGATTCACTGTCTGAATCTTTCCGATGTCCACAATCGAAGACACCCACGTTGTCGCAATGGAAGAAGAGAAAGAAGAGCGGCCTTCCCGGGTTTCTACAGCTGGGACTGCCGCTTCACCGGCGTCTGATGATGTGCGGCGGTGCTCGGTCCAGTCGAGTGCTGAGATTGTGGGGGCGGCGGCGGTGGAGAAAAGAAGGGGATCCTCTGTGTCGGAGTGCTCTGTTGAGATGGATCTGGAATGTGGGTTAGGTGAGATTAAGGTACATTTGGCGAAAATGGAGAGAGATTGCCGTATTTGTCATCTGAGCTTGGATGCTACGAATCATGAATCTGGAATCCCCATTGAGTTGGGTTGTTCTTGCAAGGATGATTTGGCTGCTGCTCATAAGCACTGTGCTGAGGCTTGGTTCAAGGTTAAGGGTGACATGTAAGTTCCCCCCAAATTAGAACAAAGCCCTCAAGTTTCATTTCTCTTATCTCCTGAGTTTTGTTCATATCTAGTGTTTAATTACATTTCATGCATTGGATATACGAATCATGAATAACAACTTTGTTTTCATCATTCAAACATGTACCTCAAAACGTGTAGCTACACATTTGAGAGTATGTGGTAATCTGGTCTGTTGCTTCTACCTAAATCCATCAGCCTTTGTTCTTACAAAGCTATAACGAAATGGGACCGAGATCACGAGTCGACCGCGCTCGGCTTGGAGGTGTTTCTTGCACAAGAACTTACCCTTCCATCTCCTAAAACATGCTCATTTCATAGCCTAGACATACTCTTGCTTGCTTTAGTCTGATGCACAATTGATTAGAGTCCTTTTCTTAGCTGAGTTGAAATGTTTGAATGTTTCTTCACTGCTTCATTGCATGATGTTGGTATCTACACAAGTATAAGGAATCAACGTTTATTCCAAAAATGTCCAATCAGTGAGATTCTTTCCTGTTTAACCATCTTTGAACAGGATTGATATATAGATACTTAGAGATACTATCTTTGAACATGATTATTGTCTCCTTCCTCGTACAATATCTTCATTGTCTTCTGCAGAAGCTTGAAATCTTTTTCTGTTCTCTTATTGAACCATGAAGAATCTATGAGCATATCAGAAGAATTGAGTTAATATAGTTGAATCTATTAAGAAATTTAAGCTTTTGTGTGAGATCTCACATTGACTAAAGAGGGGAACGAGTGTCAGCGAAGATGCTGGGCCTCGAAGGAAGTGAATTGTGAGATCCCACATTAGTTGGAGAGGAGAACGAAGCATTATTTATAAGGGTTCCCTAGTAGACTCGTTTTAAAAACCTCGAGGGGAAGCTTGTAAGGGAAAACCCAAAGAGGACAATTTTTGCTAGTGGAGGGATTGGACGGTTACATTTTGAGACCCTGCTAGCAACAACCACGTGTAGTTTGGCTAGGAATTTGAATGTAAAACCTTAAAGGGAAGCCCGAAAGTAATATATGCCTTTTGTCTCTACTTGCACTTACCCATCTGCAATTTGTTGCAGCACCTGTGAAATCTGTGGATCAATTGCACACAATGTTACTAGTACTTGTGAAGCTGATTCGACCGAGCAGTGCAATGAGTCGAACGATGGAACGACAGCAACCACTGCAGCTGCTGTCGTGGTGCCACCGCACTCTACAGAGGCTCGAAACTTCTGGCAGGGCCACAGGTTCCTGAATTTCTTGCTTGCTTGCATGGTTTTCGCCTTCGTCATATCATGGCTATTTCACTTCAAAATACCCTCATAATGAAAACCACACTCGAAACAAAGGAGCATCAAACCAAAAAGCTTGTCGAAAACTTCATCCCTCATCGTCTGCAACGACCGTGTCGTGGTTCGTATACTCATCTTCTGTTAATATGTATTAGTTTTAGAGAACTGTGGAAGAAGACTGGTTTGTGTATTGTATCATTGGGGCCTCGTGTTGTTTTATCGTACTGAAAACAGACAGGTTGGATCAATGTTTGAAACGATTCAGCTAGCTAGCTGGATTGCCCATTTTCTGTTCTTCATGCTGTTTTTGTCATGTCGTCTGGTTGTGGATAATCCTCTGTTGAGATTCCGACATGTAGTTCCTTCTAAAACCATTTTTAATTTTTTTTTTGTTTTTTTTTTTACAATAAATATTATATTTATAGTAAAAAATGATTAACCTAAAAAGAAAATGACAATGTAACATATAAAAGTTTTCTTTAAGAAACCATTTATACCAAATTCCATCAAAACGCATTAATTAGAAAATAAGTATAAAGTTTTATTATTTTAAGAGTAAAGATTAGTTTTAATGTGAATATAGTTAAATTAAATTAAAAGAAATGGGTTTTTTTTTTTTTTTTTTTTTTTTTAGTAAT